TTATTTTTAATTAAATACTAATTTTCATATGTTTCATTCATTGTTGCATATCAGAGCTGCTGCTTGCCTGCAGCCTCTTTAAGCCATTTCATATCTATACACACTCAGCAATGGCTGCATAGCAATTCACAGGGCAGGTTTTAAAACATGCATTTGCTAGATGCATGAGGGTTCCATTAAGACTTAGGAAGTAATGATTTAACATTGAAATAGCATGAAAAGTGTCAACTTTTCTCAGCCCCCATTATATCTTGTTGCCAGGGCTGGACTGGGACAAAGAAGTGAGAGGGGAACCTGGCATCGCTGCGGAGGAAGGGGGGGCAGGGAGAGCGCACATACGGGCCTAGAGAGTGCACAGGGGGCCCAGGAGAGAGGGCAGGGGCTGGGGGCAGCAGAAAGAAGATGGATAGGAGGGGTGGCAGGGTGGCATATAGAGGAACCAATCTGTTCATTTCCCTCATGCCTGCAGGATTGAGAGGAGAAGGGGGCATTCAGTGGTGGTAGGAGAACAATGAACGGATCGGTTCATCTGCCGCCTCGCCCTCCCTCCTATTCAGGTAGCCCGGTCCACTGGGAAAATGCCCAGCATGCCCTATGGTCAGTCCGGGCCTGCTTGTTGCTGTAATAAGTTGCTTTTATATTTCAAAGAAGATGAAGAATTTTGGAGTGCAGCTGGTTGGATTGTTCAAGTCTATACTTTTTCAGCGGGACAAGCTGAGCTTACACCCAAGTGAGAGGGGTGTGAAGGAGTGTATTGCCAAGCCAACCAGGAGCAGGATATGTTTACAGTGTGATCAAAGTGAAAGCTATTGTCAGCCAACTTAAACTCCACCTACAGCATGTTACTGCAAAAAAAAAAAAAAAAAAAATAATAATAAACATTTGCTCCTGTAGCACTACCCCCTTAGGAGTCGCTGTGTTTTTGGGTCCCTCTATAGTCCTGCACAGCCAAGCAACACAACTTTTCTTCCACACTTGCATACTGGAGAAAGTAAACAGTTCTTGAGCTTGTTTTTTTTTAGTTTTATTAAGGACTATTGAACTTGGATGGGGTTGAGGGGTGTATGAGGTGTATGAGATGTACAAGGAAACTGTAAACATGGGGACAAACTCCTTAGCAACATATGCACAAGTTCATAGACAGCAAAGTCTCTTAGATCTCTCCAGCCCTCCTGGTGTACCTCCTCAGACCCCACATGAATTCTCCTCTTCACCCAGCTGCCTGAGGGAATCCCTCAGCAAATGGACCCATACGCTGCCACATTAGTAAAGCAGTCCCAGATAAGGAGCTAGTTGGGTTTGCCACCTGACTGCCCTCTCCCCATATCTAGCCCAGGGTGTGCAGGATTACTCACTCAGTCTTCTCCTGTAAGCATGTGGGTTGGAGGCCTTACCAGGGGCGGACTGACCATTTGGAAACTTGGGCACTGCCCAAGGGCCAGGGGTCAGTAGGGGGCCCCATGAGATGCCCCTGGTACCTTTTTCATAGGCTTTTTTTGAGTTTGGGCAAGGACACAGGGGCCCCATGATCCCCTATTGCCCGGGGACCCCATGAGCTGTCAGTCCGCCCCTGGGTCTTACGCTGGGCTAGCTCCTTCCTTGCTTCCCAGGCTGTCAGGGCATGGTTGAGGCTGAGAGATCCTCCATCTCCTGCCCTCTCACATCATCTTCCACCCAACACTGACCACTTCCTGACCAGGCTGTCCCATACTTAAGAGCTGTCCTGACCCCATGCCAAGCCTCCTGCTTGGTGGTTGGTCAGAGTCCCCTGAGTATGCATATCAGCCTCTCCCCACCCCCACCCATTACATTCTAGAAACTTCTCAAGTTTCTAGAGCAGGAGGGGTATTAGGAAACTGACCTGCAGAGCCCTCAGCCCTTACCTAAAGTTACCTGGCTGACTCATCCCAGGCTGACTCATATTAGGCTGCTATCCAGCCTCTAACTAAAAACCTAGCTAGCTCCCCCTGGCTAACTAGAGGGACGCTACACTTTGACATTTAGATTTGTAATTTTTAATATACTTTAAAACACTTTCTTGCAATTAAATATTTATTTTAATTCTCTATTCCGAAAGCCTTTTTATGTCATGTGACCGGCACAGCACCAATCGTGCAGACACGGATTTATACATCAGAATACTAGAAACTCCTCCCTCGGAACTTTCTTAGAGGACAGGAAAGACCTGGGGAATGTCATGTGACCCCTGAACAGCGATGTTTAAATAAGGTACTCAGATTATTTTTTTATATTGAATTAAATTAAATACAATGGCATGGTCTTTATACATAAATAGAAGGGATAATGGCAATTGAACATTGTATGTTTAGTATCTCTTTACTTCGTAGCAGGATCACCAGGTATTCATTTATTGAAAGGTGCAGATTTAAACCTATTGCAAATGGCATAAATATTAGATGTTAGTAGTTGATTTAGATCCAACCTTACTTAAAGAGGGCATTAAATATCAAAATGTTCTAACTGGACCAACTCAGGCAAGTTGGTTTTTAGCAAAATTCACTACTTTTGCATTCATTTTTTTAATTATTTGTTGTCTCCAATTATCTAACACATTTCACTGGAAGAAATAATAAACTAAAATTATTTCATAGAAGACCTGCTGTATATCTTGTTTGCCACAGGTTAGATGACATCACTGTTCCCCCCCTGCAATCTTCTATCTGTTCCTTGGAGAGAAATTGCCTATAGCAGGCCCATGTATAACACAAGGCTAAGTGATAATCAACCATAAACAGGACAAGGAGACTGACCTAATGTCAATGTCCCAGGGCACAGTGCAGCTCAACCAGGATCATTAAATTGTTAGTTATAACGAAGAGCTTGCTCTGTATTAAAGAAGATGTCCCTTTGTTACAAAGATTTCATGTTCGATTCTGATCTCCAGGCAGAATTAGGCCCCATTCACATTTTGCAATTTGGAATTGCCGTGATTCAGTTGCATAGAGATTGCTACAAAACAGGTGACATGCATTATGGTGTCATTCATCTAAATGACATTCCTAAAGGCAGTGCGATTTTTGCCATGCTTGTTGTGCCACCTCTATGAATTGTGTGAAGCTTGTCACCCAAAAAGCAGGGGCTTCTATTAAATGACAAACACGCATAGGGCAGCCCATTCACTTGAATGGGCTGCCCTATATGCGACACTCGGAATCATGTGAGAATCACACTTTGAATATCGTGAGCAGAAACTCTTGTTCCCACTATGTGTATTGTGAATGGGGCCTGAACAGTTAAATACATATATGGGGTCTGTCTTACTTTTCAGCCTGAGATTATACCAGTGTTTCTCAACCTTTTATTTCAGCCAACACACCCTTAAAAATGATGGTGCCTCAAGACTGTCTATAATTTTAAAAGAGCACCCCATTTTAAAATGTGAAAACCTATTCTAATAGCAGCAACATCCACACATGTATGACTCTTTTTGCACACTGGTACTGACTAGTATTCCAATGTTTCTCTTCTCCCTCCTTTTTTCTCCATCACTGAGCTAATGTGACCCCAGTGCTGACATAGAGTGGCAGTGGAGGATCAAAGAAGGATGCTGTGCAGGCGACCGCCATCCTCCATATCAACTGATGATGTCATTGGTTGTTAAGACGCTGATGGCTAGAAGGCGGTAATGGTGCACAATGAAAACTTACGCATTGTGTAACTAAAAGGCAGGCTTGTTCCACCCGCTGACTTGTATACAAGTTTTGGGCAATTTTTAGACATTTTGCTAAGGCACCCCTGAAGTAACCTCAGGGCGCCCTGGTTGAGAAAGGCTGGATTAGACAATGAATGAACAACAACAAACTAATGAGGTAACCTTTTTGTTCTCCCCTACTATGTGCATCTTCCTTTTCAGCCTATGCTATTACTATTATTATTAATATTATTATTATATAGGATTTATATAGCGCCAACAGTTTGCTCAGCGCTTTTCAAAATAAAGGGAGGCGATACAGTTCAATACAAGAGGGTTAGGAGGGCCCTGCTCCTTGGAGCTTACAATCTAAGAGGGAGGGGCTAGTGGCACAAAAGGTAATAACTGTGGGGGACGAACTGATGGGAGGAATAGAAGATATGGTTATTAGCTGAAGGCAGGATAGGCTTTCCTGAATACGTTTTCAGAGATCGCCTAAAAGTGAGCAGAGTAGACAATAGTTGGATAGATTGGGGTAGAGTGTTCCACAGGATGGGGGAGGCTCTGTAGAAGTCCTGGAGACGAGCATGGGAGGAGGAGACAAGAGAGATCTAGAGAGCAGGAGGTCATGGGAGGACAGTTTGGGTGATATTTGGAGACAAGATTGGAGATGTAATTGTGAATGCAGGACACCTGATTTGCCCCAAGTGCTGCCCCCCTCTCTCTCAGGGCCACTTCATACCATGCCTGCACATGAATCGCACAAGAACGGGCTGTGCCTTCCTGTGCGAATAATACAACATGCAGAATGCACTCCATTTATGATCTGAAGTGGGTGTCAATACAAAGTTAACAACACCCCAAACCCCAGTCACAAATGTAGTGCATTTGCCTGCACCAGATTGCATGGTACTTTTGGTTGAGGTGCATTTTAAAAAGTAGTGTATGCACTATTTTTGGTGAGGTGCGATTTTAGCCCGTTCAAAATGAATACGCTGAAATCACACCACACAGAACTGCATGTGAATTGCATAGAAATGCACAGCGCATCCCTGTGGTGTGAACTGACTCTCAGTCTGGCTGCCAAGTGCTGCTATTCAAGAGACTGAAATCAATCGCATGCAGGTATTTATACATTTGATGATTTTTGAGCCGGGTGATGCCCAGAGGCTCTGTTTTGTGAAATGAATAAAAAGAAGTTTTTTAAAAAAAAACAACTTTTTTTTTAAGCAACTGTTTGGAGTTCAGCTCTAAGTATTCCAACCAGGATAAAACTCACTGTTAAACCAACATATACAGTATACACCTGTTTTGCACTCATCGATCCCCTCTAAATGTTAAAGTGTTACTAAACCCACAATGGTAAAATCAGTGTGTATATGCAGTAAAGCATGATTGTTATACTCACTGTGGAACCTAAGGGGTTAATCCTCTTCATTGTGTAAAAAGGCTGTTTGATCCATTTTCTCTGCCCCTCCTCAAATGTCCATGTCTTATCTATTGATAAGACAAACTGAACCCGTAGTCACATGAACATGCTCAGTTTAGTGTGTATTGCTAGAGAGGGTTTTTTTTCCCTTGGGAGAGTGCATGTGATCAGCACAGGGCCAATCAGTGCTATCCAGACAGAGGTTAGGGGTTTTGCATCCTCCTAGAGCAGAAAGAAAACTCCTCCTACAAGCTTTAACCAGTGCTCTGCTGAACGCTGATAGAAGACACAAGTCTTCTCTAACTGCTGATGAGACATGGTATTTAGCAGTTTATATTTAATAGATAGAGTGAATGCAGAGTCCCAGGTTTAGTAACACTTTAAGTATCAATGTACATTTGGATCCAGTAGTAATCTGGCTGTGTGGAACATGTATTTGGAAAAATTGTATCAGTTTGATGCACAATTTATACTGATGTATGCAAGTTGTAACAAACTATCTTGGCATTTTAAATAACTCTCATATGTATATATAAGATTCTTATTTATTGTTTATTAAATTGATATTTAATTACCAATATGTTATGCCTCATTCAAATTATTTGTTTGAGTATGAGCTATTGATAGCTATGCAACTTAAAACCAAATTTGATTACCTAAATCCACTGTCACATGGCAATCCTAGGTATCTCATCTGATTGTAATGTGAGAGTGGATTTTGCTGGCTTCTGCCTTTTTGGTATCATGCCACTGCTGTTGGAACTATTCATGACTTAGAGATATAGGTAAGATATAGAAAGTAGGATAATATTATAGCTATATTCCTACTTCAGCCAAGGAGTAGCAGTATGGACATATGTTCATAATTCAAAATTTGAAAAGTCCTGGAGATCGAAGTAATTGCCTCCTCATTGATAATGAGTCCCTGCCAGAACCCTGTAGACATGTAGCTATAATAAGTGTATTCATCTACCTTCTCACAAACCACCAAATGAATCCTCCAGACCTGTTGACTACAAAGCAGCAGGGAGGGAGAGGTCAATCCATATTGGGGGGGTACCACACTGTCTTCTTTCATTACTCTTGTTCAAAAGAACCAAGGAAAAATGAAGTTCCAAAATAATCTTTGAAAGTCATTCCTTCTGATAGTTACATAGTTAGTGTGGCTGAAAAAAGACAAAAGTCCATCCAGTTCAACAATAAAAAAAAAAAAGTTATAATCCTTTACCCACAGTTGATCCAGAGGAAGGCAAAAAAAACCCAACAATGCATGATCCAAGTTGGTCCTGCGGGGAAAAAAATTCCTTCCTAATCCCCCGAGAGGCAATCAGATATTCCCTGGATCATGGTGATCATATCCCCCCTTATGTATTATACATGGAGATCATATCCCTCCTTATGTATTATACATGAAGATCATATTCCCCCTTATGTATTATATACATGGAGATCATATCCCCCCTTATGTATTATACATGGAGATCATATCCCCCCTTATGTATTATACATGGAGATCATATCACCCCTTATGTATTGTACATGGAGATCATATCCCCCCTTATGTATTATACATGGAGATCATATCCCCCCTTATGTATTATACATGGAGATCATATCCTCCCTTATGTATTATACATGGAGATCATATCCGCCCTTATGTATTATACATGGTGATCATATCCCCCTTATGTATTATACATGGTGATCATATCCCCCCTTATGTATTATACATGGAGATCATATCCCCCTTATGTATTATACATGGAGATCATATCCCCCCTTATGTATTATACATGGAGATCATATCCCCTCTTATGTATTATACATGGAGATCATATCCCCCCTTATGTATTATACATGGAGATCATATCCCCTCTTATGTATTATACATGGAGATCATATCCCCCTTATGTATTATACATGGTGATCATATCCCCCTTATGTATTATACATGGAGATCATATCCCCCCTTATGTATTATACATGGAGATCATATCCCCCCTTATGTATTATACATGGAGATCATATCCCCCCTTATGTATTATACATGGAGATCATATACCCCCTTATATATTATACATGGAGATCATATCCCCCCTTATGTATTATACATGAGATCATATCCCCCTTATGTATTATACATGGAGATCATATCCCCCCTTATATATTATACATGGTGATCATATCCCCCTTATATATTATACATGGAGATCATATTCCCCCTTATGTATTATACATGGAGATCATATCCCTCCTTATGTATTATACATGGTGATCATATCCCCCCTTATGTATTATACATGGAGATCATATCCCCCCTTATGTATTATACATGGAGATCATATCCCCCCTTATGTATTATACATGGAGATCATATCCCTCCTTATGTATTATACATGGTGATCATATCCCCCCTTATGTATTATACATGGAGATCATATCCCCCTTATGTATTATACATGGAGATCATATCCCCCCTTATGTATTATACATGGAGATCATATCCCCCCTTATGTATTATACATGGAGATCATATCCCCCCTTATGTATTATACATGGTGATCATACCCCCCCTTATGTATTATACATGGTGATCATATCCCCCCTTATGTATTATACATGGAGATCAGATGTCCCTTATGTATTATACATGGAGATCATATCCCCCCTTATGTATTATACATGGAGATCATATCCCCCCTTATGTATTATACATAGTGATCATATCCCCCCTTATGTATTATACATGGAGATCATATCCCCCCCCCTTATGTATTATACATGGAGATCATATCCTCCCTTATGTATTATACATGGAGATCATATCCCCCCTTATGTATTATACATGGAGATCATATCCCCCCTTATGTATTATACATGGAGATCATATCCCCCTTATGTATTTATACATGTTGATCATATCCCCCTTATGTATTATACATGGAGATCATATCCCCCTTATGTATTATACATGGAGATCATATCCCCCCTTATGTATTATACATGGAGATCATATCCCCCCTTATGTATTATACATGGAGATCATATCCCCCCTTATGTATTATACATGGAGATCATATCCCCCCTTATGTATTATACATGGAGATCATATCCCCCCTTATGTATTATACATGGAGATCATATCCCCCCTTATGTATTTATACATGTTGATCATATCCCCCTTATGTATTATACATGGAGATCATATCCCCCTTATGTATTATACATGGAGATCATATCCCCCCTTATGTATTATACATGGAGATCATATCCCCCTTATGTATTATACATGGAGATCATATCCCCCCTTATGTATTATACATGGAGATCATATCCCCCTTATGTATTATACATGGAGATCATATCCCCTCTTAACCTCCCTAGCGGTATGATTATTTCAGATTTTTGGTGCTGAAAGCGGTACCATTTTTTTTGCATGGAAATATGTATTTTTTTTATTGTAGGCTGTAATTTTTAGGAAAAACTCACTGAAATCTGTCCGAACAAGAGTCTAGTAAACATCCCGGGTATGATAAAATTTGAAACACAAAATCATAAATTATAATTTAATAAATAATCATAAAAATAATATAAAAATAATAAAAAATTTAATTCAATAATATAATCAAACCAAAAACACTGAAATGTGAAATAGAGCGCCAAGTTCGCACATTGCTGAGCAAAGTCGCAAAATCGTTTTCAGTGTCTGATGACGAATTTCCCCCACGAATAATTATCACTCAATTCTGCAAGTGGTTCTAATTTACTATCGCTGTTCTCTAGCTGGTCTAAACCCGCTTTTGACCTAAAGGGACACTTTTTGGACGCCATGGACATTTCTCAGTTTCCAGGCAGAAAGAACAGACAAAATGCAGGCAGGGCGCAGGACAAAGCACTAGGGACAATATGTATGTGAAATGGGTTGAGACAGCAATGTTTTACTATGTAAAATGTAAAAAAAAAAAAAATGACATTTTTTAAAATTTTTAAATTTCCCGCCGCCGGCGGCGGCGGCGCCCGTACCTCCCGACGTCACAGGGACAGGACACAGAAGCCGGATGCCGGCATCGGCCGGAGGAGATGGCCGGGGACGCTGCAGGGGACACATCGTGGGAGCGCAGGGTAAGGTAAGTGAAGAACACTTGCCGGAGCAGTGCCGCAGGGTAAGCCCGAGTGTAGCTCGGGGTTACCGCTTTTGGTACTGAAATGTTACCCCCGAGCTACACTCGGGAATACCGCTAAGAAGGTTAATCTCCTCTTCTCAAGAGAGAATAAATTCAGTTCCTCTAATCTTTCTTCATAACTGAGCTCCTCCATGCCTCTTATCAGTTTGATAGTTGATAGTACGAACTAACATCTTCATGCAGATATAAAATCACATGTCCAGGACTTACCGAACCACCCAGGGACCAGCTATATGATTACATGAACCCTGTCCATGACAGGTTTTTTTTGGCCTAGCAAACCATTTTTAGGCAGGTGCAGTTAGCCACGTTGCCACTAGGTGGCTCTGTACCAGAATAGTGTCTAGTACAGTAGGTGAGGAAACCAGGTGTTAGACCCCCTTTTAGTATGTCCCTCCCATGGTGATGTCAGGGGTGAGTCAGCAACCACATTTAAGCCAAGTGAGGAGGAGCACCCATGCACAGCTAAACACCCCACACCTTTGAAGAGGTAGCTAGCACATTTAGGTCCTGGACAGGGAAGGAGGCTGGGAGGAGTGGACCTTATAGAAGTGGGGGTCAGGGAGGATTGCAAAAGGCCTTTTAGGCTGGGCTGGAGATCCCTATGTGAGGCTGCTTCCCTGGAGAATTCCTGGGAGAGATGTACCTAGCAAGGAGGTGACTACAGAGAGCACAGTCCTGTGAGTACTAACGACCCTGGGCAGAGGGGAAACTGTAGGGAGAGGGCTATTGAAATGCTGCACACGCTTTCACTTTTGACTGCTACAGACTGTCCACTAAATATGATATACTGTGTAATGTCAAGTGACTCCAGTATGTTCTTGTGATGTGACTGTAATGTCATTTCCTGATGACCACCAGTAAAGGTTAGCAAAATTACTTTGTGTATAGACATTCCTTCCTTGGGGATATAAAGGTCTATGGCCAGAAATGTTGTGTAGAGGCCAGACCCATACTGGGACAAAAAACAGGCCCGGGCATTTTAGACTGAGCAGTCCTGAGCCCGGGGGCCTTTCCCTTGGAGCCCGGTGATGGAACACATGGGTCCGGATGCAAGTGAGACTTTCATGACCCTGGTAGTTCCGCCACTGGTTCCAGTAGATTTATATTTATTTTTATTTTTTTAACCATTTCATTTATTTATTTATTTTTACAATTTTATTATTATTT